GGGGAGGGTCAGAGGGAGAAGCAGACTACCTGCCGAGCAGGGAGCCCGATGTGGGACTCGATCCCGGGACTCCAGGATCATGACCTGAACTGAAGGCAGTCGCTCAACCAACTGAGCCACCCAGGTGCCCTTAATCCATTTTTTAAAAAACAAAATAAAACGAGAAATCCTAATGGGACTTTGGATTCCTTGTGCTGTACTTCTAGATTAATTTGGGCAAGCAATGAGAGCTGTGTTAGTCCCGTCCCGCGCAGGAAATCGGTAGCTGGGTTAAACTGGGAAATGTCAGCGGAATATATTTGGCAAGGCATGGGACATGCACTGGGGCTGGGCACTGAGGCAGGTGCCTCCCACTGGCCAAACCCAACGGAAGCCAGAGGGCAAAGGATCAGCAGGATGGGGAAGGATGGAGAGTGGCCTAAGGGGCAAAGGGAACATGACTAGCCTTGCAATATCAGGTCATTTGCATGTAACATGTTCAAAGTTGAGAGGAGAAAGTTAAAAAAAAATTATAAGGGAGATTGCTTTGCCAGGATCCCATAACTTTATGAAATCCCAATTAGCCTTGGGCTGGGGGCCCTCCCTATGGGCTCTGAGAGCCCTTTTCTCTCCCCAATCATGTCTACCTTCTTTACTTAGGGTTGCCAAATTTAATGAATGGAAATGCAGGACACCCAGTTAAATGTGAATCTCAGATAAACTCTGCAGGGTTCCTTAGTAGAAGAACATCCTTGCAATCTTTTATCTGGCAGCCCGGTGGTCCCTCCTGGCCTGGGCTCATGAGAGCAGGTAAATTGCCCCCAGCCCTAGAACAGAATCCAGGACGTATCAGGCCCTCAGTGGAATGGAAGCTTGAAAGCCACTTGGTTGGGTCGCTGGTCATTTGTTTAGATCCAATCAAAAACGGGGGGTGGTGGAGTATATTTTACAGCTGCCTTTTAATTTTTCTTCAGCAGTCCAGGGAGAAGAGGGGAGAGGGTGTCTGAGGGTGGAAGCAATCTCTCCATGAAGCCTGACGCCCCCTGGCCTCAGTGGATGCACCCTCCGCTGAGCCACAGTCTGACTCCCTGCAGTGGACCTTCTCTCTTAGTCACCTGCGTCCTGTGCAACCTCAATGCCAGGGGTCCCTGGGGCTGTGTGGGGGAGGGGGGCGGTGGTTAGAAGGGTCTAGAATCGTCCCAGATACATTTGTTGGGTTATTTCAGCAGAAAATCAGGAGGACGTGGAAGTCAGTATGTGGGTAATTCTGGATGTGTCTCTCGCTTGTGTCTGTAAGGACCGTAACTGTGGATGACTGGGGTTTCCAAGGAAGCCCACTTGGGAGAAGGCTGGACCTGAGAATCTCTGAGATTTCTTCCTCCTGCGAATAACATCTTTGAGGGGCGATAGCACGGGACTCGCTCAGCCGGCTGTCTTGAGTATAGCATCTGATGAGCCTAAATCATAGCTTGAATATCCTTCTATGGCTCTGGATCTGTGAATGGCCAGTATATGTTCTAATTTCAAAAAGTAAACAGAGAATTCGGGAATTAAGGAGAAAAAAAATGCATCACACCTGGACAAACAAAATCGAAGCAGATGGTCCCCCGAACAAAGATCAGTCACGCTATGTTCCTATAGAAAGGCTAAAGCATTGTTTAGAGGGTCATGACGAAACGATGACCATCTCCCCTGAGAACTGGACAAGAGGAAATTGCTTAAAATTGCAACAGGAAGTTTACATTGTAGTGAAAAGAAAATCCACTCACAGGAAGCGGTCCCTGATATTATTGGCTCTGGGAGGATATACATGTCTTGGTACCTGGCCCCCAATGACATAGAGATTCTAGTGAGGACATCCTGTGTGGGCTCAAACCACAGTGCTTTGAAGTTCAGAGAGATCAAAACCTCTTCGAACCCTGTTTATGAACCAGCTTCTCAGATGAAAACTTACATGACGACAGATATCTGAACCCTTGCCTGAGCAAACTTGGCTGAGGTATCCTGCTCATGTTTGGTGTCGCTTCTCCAGAAGGCTCCTTTGGCATTTATTAGGCATGACATCATGGTCTCTTTTATGAACTGAAATTATGAAATATCAAGAAACAAGGAATTAAATATATGGGACTGGGGTTGGTGTGAGACGTGTAGCTGGATGACTTTACTTCCGATGATGACAGAAGTGGGCTTACCCACCCGGCCCTTTCCTTGTTTGGACAGTGACTGGGCCATTAGAGTTGTTTTGAAGCAACTAGAAATAGAATCAATTGCTGTTTGTGTGATACAAAAAAAAAATATATGTCTTGGGCTGGGAAATGAGAAATCTAAGAGGCAGTACCCGATTTGGGAGTATGTTTTAAACTGGGTTAAGCTTTGGAACATTTACAGAAATAAATGTATTTTCTAAAAGCCATATCGTGAGTTTTTAAATCCTTTCAATCAGCAACATGAAAATACAGAGCTGCCCAGAATTGGCCTTTAGTTGCCCCGGGGCAGATTTTGGCAGAGTCTTGTGAGTGATCCCCAAGGGCTACTGCCGCGACATCGGGGCACCCTGGGGTGGGACCCCAAACAGCCTTAGGGTCCTGATCCTGCCCTTTATTCTCTTTCATTGTCACTCCAAACATGTAAGATGAGCATTGGTATCACTGACTTACTCAGAAATAAGGAAAAACCCATGAATGGATTAGATGTCTATTACACTCCCGCTGCCAGGCATCCAGCCACGTGCAAGGCACCGCAGAGGGGACAATTGATGTCCCAGGTCGGAGCAGTGCCTGCTTCCAAGGACTTTTGAGAAAGCTGGAAGATGAAACAAATATTTGTGAAAAAAATCAGAGATGGGAGAGGAGTGGATTGCTTTGGAGTGTATTCTTGAGTTACAGGAGAGAGGCGGTGTTATAGCAAGTTGGGCTGACTACAAATGTCGGTGAATGGCAGGTGCACAGACTGGGGGACATGAGCCTGGGTGGGAGGCCATTGAAGCAATCCTGGGTGAGGTTCTGAGAACTGGAACAGAAAAGGAGATGCAGAGGAGCAGGTCAGAGGAAGAAAGAAGAAGACCTGGCTGCAACTTGGATGAAGGGAAGAAGGAGGGGGAGCAGGAGACTGGGGCAGGGGCGGTGGGGGGGGGGGTGCCAGCCCCTGGGCAAAGTAAGGTTGCTGGGACAAAGGGGGAAAGGGGATTTGGGGTTGTGAATCATAGTTAATAGTGGGGTACCTGTACCAAGCAATTCTGCAGGATTGGCATGCTTGACCCAGCTAGGGTGAGGATTTAGGAGCCCTCCTCCAGAAATGAAAAGATGGCATCAGGATGAGTGCACTCAAGGAATGAGCTCTAAGAACCCAGGCTTTCTCCTTCCTTCTCTCTGATCCTCCTTCCCTCTCTCCTTCCTTCTTCCTTCCTTCTCTCTGATCCTCCTTCTTTCTTTCTTCCCTTCCTTCCTTCTCCTCCTTCCCTTCCTTTCCTTCCTTCCTTCTTCCTTCCTTCCCTCTCCCTCCCTCCTTCTTTCCTCCCTTCTTTCCTTCTCCTCCTTCTCTTCCTTCCCTTCCTTTCCTTCTTCCTTCCTTCCTTCCTTCTACCTTCTTCCCTTTATCCCTTCCCCCCTCCTATTCCTCTTTCTTCCTTTCCTCTGTCCTTCTCTCCCTCTGTCCCTCTCTCTATTCCTTTCTTTCATTTAGTGCCCCCATTTTTATCCCTTTTCCACCTGTACCCCTTCCTTCCTGCAGGCAATCCCTTTAACATATTTGATGGGGATTGTCTGGTTTTTATAATTTGCTGTACTGCTGTTTAAGTTCGTATATTTTTGGTAACTCCGTATTTTAGAATAATTCAAATTTGCTGAAAACTTGCAAGACTAGTACAAGGAACTCCCATATACCCTATACCCAGATTCACTCGTTCACACTTTGTTTGCTATGTCATTGCTCTGTCTCTTTCCACCCACATACACATACACGCGTGTGCATGCACGTGCATGCACACATATGCACATCTATACGCATGCAACCTACACACACATATAGACACATACACACACACATGCGTATTTTCTCTGAACCATTTGAGAGTAAGGAGCAGACATTGTGTCCTGTATACTTCAGTGTGTATTCCCTAACTAAAACACCCTTGTACACAACCACAACGCAATGACCAAAATCAGGAAAGTCCACATAAACAGAAAGCTATCACCCAATCCACAGTCCAGCCCCCTCCCTCTCGCCAGCACCCTGCAGCACTGCCTAGCCTAGCACCCAGCACATAGCAGGTGCTCCGTAAAATACTTGCAGGAGACAGAGTCCAAGCTGGGGAAGCAACTCTGGGTAGTATCCAAGGTGGTGGAAGCGCCCAGGAGAAAGGGAAGGCTCCCAAGACTGCGTGTGGAGCTGACCGAGCACCTTGCCAAGCCCCTCGGTTCTGCAACCCCACAGGTAGGGGTGCGTGGCACCCTCAAGGGGAGTCCCCCCTTCGGGTTCAGTTTCCCTGCAGGAGAGAGGTAGTGGAGGTTGAACAAAAGGCTCCAATGATAGGAGCTGGGCATTTGTGAGGAAGAAAGTGGCAGGTGGGTCAAAGGATGACCTGGTGAGGCGGCCAGCCCTGTGCCCCCCCACCCCCGGGGCTTCTGTGACTTGGGAGCTGGGGGAGGACCCCTGAGGGGCTGGGTGAGGAGGGGACCCCCAGGCAGCAAGGTGGTGGAGCCAGGCTCTGGGCGGAGGGAGGGCTGGGTGCCCAGGAAGGCCACCTGCACGCTGACTGCTGACTCAGTGCCCCTTGTTGATTCAGGAGAGAGTTCATGCCCTTGGTAAACTAGCGGTTGTGACCCAGGAGGGCGGGGAGACAGAGGTCCAAGGCCAGAAACTTTGGCCCCAGCTGAGTGGGTTATGTGCCGCAAGGCGGGAGGAGGAAGGAGCGGGAGGTTAGCCAGACGCCGCTATGCTCCAGGGGCCTGGGGTGTTCACCCCCAGAGACAGTGGTCCCCGGAGCCAGGTTGGGAGGCCGTTGGGACTCCACTTGTTTCTGTCGCCTGATTCCAAGGGATGAAGGATCGACCTGGAGGGAGGAGATGGCATTGGTACCAGTTAATATTGAAAACATGGGAAACGCAAACTATGAGGCAAACACAAGTGTCTCTTTCTGAGCCATAAAGAACCCAGGCTGATGGGTGCCCCCCCACTCCGCCCAAGCGTGACTCCAGGGGGCGCCGCTGGGACTGACCATCCTGCCCAAAAGGCACACTCTGGGTTGTCACTGGAGACCTGGAGAGGGAGTAATCACGTGGCCTTCTAAGCATGCACGGTCTTCACTCATGTGACTTGGTGAGGATTAGGGACAGACCCACATCCTGGGTGTTTGTTTGCCTCTGTGGGTTCCACCCTGGTGGAGGCACCAGGGGAGTGCAGACCATTTCCTTCCCAAACCGCTTGTTGAGTCTAAGAGGTCTGAGCTTCTTACAGCGCCCACTGGAGGAGGGGGTGCTGCTAAGAAGCTTTTCGGCTTTAGGCTCCCGAGGAGGGAGATAACATGGATTGTCCTGTGGTGAAGGAGGGAGGCCCACCCCAAGTGACCGGGCAATGTGGCAGAAAGCTTCTGTGTGCGGGGAGGGGGTGCACCCCTGGGGCTTTGGGACGGGCACACCAGGAGTGGATAGAGGGCCCTCTGACCTTGAGAGGGGCATGGAGGGTCTCTGGGGTCAAGTCCTTGGAGAGCGCTGGAGAGCTGGGGTCCACGAAGCCTGAGAGACGATGGCATTGCTCGGCCTGGATTCTTGGATGAGCCCTCGGGGGCACAAAGTGCCCTAGTAGTGACCCATATTGCCACCTGCCTGGCCCTGTGATGTTCAGAGCCAGGTCACCTTTGGTTTGGGAACATCATATGACAATTCTACCACCAAGAGCTGTGGACCAAAGTCACTCCTGCCCTGCCTAAAACAGCTGGGAGGACTCCCAACACGTGTCCTGAGTTTTCACTGATTTATTCTTGAAATGCTCAAGTCATTTTTTTATCTAACATTTTTAATGTTTTATGCTTTTCTATTTTTTTTTTATTATGAAAGACTGCAAACACACAGAGAAATAGACTAGTACACATCCACCTTCTACAGGTGCCAACCTGTGGATAAACTTGCTCCCCACTCTAACCCCCTCTACTTCTGCTTCCTGTTGTTATCTTTATAGGTAAACTTCTCGACGAAGTCTGATAATATAGAAAAGTGCACAAGTCATCCATCTATAGTTTGATGAACTTCTGCAGTCTCTTGTATCATTTTGCAGCACATCTGTCGTATGATTTCATCTCTCTATTTCACCATTACATATACATTTTTATTGTGGTGGGAAGCACACAGCACTGGGCTCACCGCGTCATTTCTAAGTTTGGGGCTCAGCAGTGTTCAAGATACTCACCATGCTGTGCAACACGTCTCCAGAACTCTCTCATCTTGCAACACTGAAAAACTCTATTTCGAATCCTTTTTAATGGGAGTCACTGGCGAGCTGTCAAATCGATACAGAAAAGGATGTGTGACTTCATCTTACCTCTTGCACACACCGCGGAAGGCAGGATAGAGGGACACACGGGCCGTGATTTTACACCCGATGCCAGAAAGGCTCAGCGAACAGGAGGCCTACCACGCGTCCCCGCTTCCTGGGGCACACCCCCGAAGCACAGTGATTACGGGGTGGACAGCACGTATGAAGTGAGGTCAGGTCACAGCTCTGTAGTCTTTGTGACTGTCACCTTTGCACACTTGGAGTGACGTTTCACTCGATCTCATGGCAGTCTGACAGCATTCTTGGGTCTGAAAAAAAATGGAGAAAGAAGCCGTTTTCGTGCACTTCTGAAGGAAGCACAGAAGAAGTAAGAACTTTTGCCGGTTTTCAAATTTAACTCAAAGGTCTGACTCCCTCCGGGCTGTGCTTAGCTGTGGGAATGGCTGGGAGAGAGACTGTAATCCCTCAACCCGCTTCTTTCATTATTATTTACCTTCCATGTCCTCTCTTTCAAGAATATTTTTTTGACATTTGCCTTCTGGCAGAGCTGGGACCCGTGAGTGGGAGTTGCAGGGAGGTGGACTTGGCTAAACACAGGGAGGAATGTTCTTAGTCAGAGCAGTCCAAAAATGGAATGGCCTGACTCAGAACACATCGTGTCCTCGGCCTGGGTAAGGTCCTGGTGAGGTCCCTTCAGGGGAGCGCTGCCCGGGGCCGTGATCAATGTGTGCAGAAACCAACGACAGGGGCGCCTGGGTGGCCCAGTCAGTTAAGCATCTGCCTTCGGCTCAGGTCATGTTACTGGGGTCCTGGGATTGAGCCCCGCATCGGACTCCTTGCTCAGTGGGGAGTCTGCTTCTCCCTCTGTGCTTGTGTTCTCTCTCTCTCTTTCTCTCAAATAAATAAATAAATAAATAAAATCTAAAAAAAGAAAAGAAAAAGAAACCAATGATAGTCATCCAGTTTGAGCACCTACCATGTGCCAGGACCATTCCAAGCACTTTCGGGAAGACTAACTCATTGCTTGTCCAAACAGCCCTATGAGACGGGTCCCGTTATCACCTATCATGTGCTCCATTTTACAGATGAAGAAACTGAGACACACCGAGGTTTTGTGACCTGCCCTCGCTGGTGCGGCTGAGAAGTGGGGGAGGCAGGCTTAAAGCCAGGCTGCCTGACTCCCCTGCTTGTAACCTCGCCGGGTGGCCCGGCTCAGTGACCAGTTGTTGTGTGCTAAAAGGAGTGTGCAAGGCAGTTGACTCAGCATATAACATTCTGGTGGAAGTCAGGAGGGCTGCTATATCCCAGAGGCAAGGCCCCATCGGTCAACCAGTAACCGGGTCTGGGTCTGCTCAGGGCAGAGGGCAAGGGAAACGTGCCACTTCAGGGCCCATGCCCCCAGCCTTGGCATCCACTTAGCTCTGCCCCCCTTGGGCACGGGTCTGTGAACTGGCTTCTTGCCTGTTCCTTCAAGCCTACCCTCTGGTTTCAGGAGTCCAGCCCTGACCTCCCCCGTGAGGCCAAGTGCTTGCCTCGGTTACCTGTCCAGGACAGTTTCTGTGATAATGCCTTATGGGGAGGGGCAAGAGGGCGAGCCTTGGAAACTGGGCTTAAAGCCTGACCTCCCACCGTCAGAAGAAGTTGCTTACACTTCTCACCCGCGTTTTCTGTGGATGCCTGTTTCGTAAGATTGTGGGGAAGATCGCAATGTGCTAACTCGGGAAATCACAGACAATGGCTGACCGATATTTTCCATCCACAGACTCAGGGTCCCATCCTGAGAGTGGCACTGTGGCATTCCGCCCGCGAGGGTGTTTCTATAAAAGGACACATTGCAGCCGAGTCCAAGGAAGAATGCTCTTGCGTTTGGCCTGTGGTGGGGAGAGTGCGCACAGCTGATGCCCTGGGCTGTAGCTGAGTTGAGCTAAGTGATCCCTCTGAACAATGCTCTGAGTCAGAAAGCTTGGTACCACCGCTCAGCTCCGGGACCTGTGGTTGGCTAAGATGAGAAACGACTAGAATGTCCCTAAAACTCCTTCTAGCTGGAAAAGGTTCTGATTCATGATCAAGGGAAGGAGGAAACTGTGTGTAATAAAATAAAAAGAACTTCTCTGATGGGCCAAGAGAGCCCTCAGAAGTACCGGCTGCCCAATTGAAAGTTCAACCTCTGGCATGACGCGCATTCTGCTTTCCATATACTTTTATGTCAACAAGGCCCCCAAATGGGACATTTACTAACGCCGGACATTTATTAACGCCAGAAGAGATTCCATACAGGTGAATCGGCCTAGAGGCTGCAACTTTACACCAGGCAGGCTTCCCCCACCCGAGCCTGGCAATGTTAAGCATTTATATAACAATTACCTACAAGTCAAGTCCTTCTCAAATGTTACTGGTGGTTGTGTTTCCCTTGCAATAATTCTGCAAAATGGGTTAAGATATTTTTTCTTCTGATTTTGCATTTGGGACAAACTCACGTACCAGCACGTTTAGTTATTTTTCCAGAATGTGTGAGTAGGGGGAGAAGTTTTGGCTCTGGAACTGGCTCCATCCTAGCTAAGCAACCCTCGGGGTCTTTACCAATCTCATCTTTGAAGAGAAGGGAGTTACTTGTTGCTTTCCATCAAATATTTGCCCCAGATTGCTGCACCTGCCCTGAAATTACAGCTTTCTGTGAGCTGAAGGGGAAGCCTCTGTCTTTTCGCTTTCTTTCAAGGCATGTTGGACCTGCTGCCCAGCTTCGTTCAGAGAAAAGGAGCAAATTCCTTTGTTGCTAATTTCACTGGCTCAGGGAAGAGTTTGAACCAGAAGGAGTAACAGCATGTGTGATTTTAACTGTTTTTAAGCATCTGCTGTTAGGACACAATCTTTGAGGCCTTTGTTAATTTTCCTGATGATTATCTCCCCCTTATATTCTTTCTCCACAGCTGTCTGGCCCTTTTCCTGGGCCAGCCTGACACTCTGAAGGAACGGGATTTCTGAAATCCCAGCCATGCTCTATCCTAAAAGATGATTTTGCTCACGGGGGCCCAGGGAGCTGTTTTAGAACCCTGGTCTCTGGCACATAAGGAGGCAAAGATCGACAACACTCTCACCACGAAGGGTAATTCCTCAGAAGATGCCAGATAGAAGTGGCGCGATCCTCCATGTCATCGAAACCCCTTTCGAACCATACAAATAAAAACGGTCTCAAGGATAGGAAAGTATTCATCATAACCCAGAAATCTCACAGGCAAACATTACGGGTCCCGTGTGTGTACTAACTTTCCCTCCCGGATTTTAAAATTTATTGGCACACTTAATAAGGTGATAACATTTTTCTTAGAATCTACGTCCCACTGTAAGGAGAAATAAAAGTAACCCGGGAATTTTGAATACGAGTTTCCTTCGTACGGGGGAAAATTGTCTGCCCCAGTTTGGGTAGAGGAAAAGGTCTCAGACCAGAGATGTGGCTCACATTCCCCATATCAGTTTGGACGGGCTGAGTTGCTCATCTGCAGCCCGGGAAAGGTTTTGCATGGACGCAGTCGGAGTGCAATGTTCCAAAGGACTCTGTGGTGGGCATTTTTACACCTGGGACGTGGACAAGGGCGGGGACTTTCTTTCCTGGGTGACTGCGGACTTATGCGCTGATCTGGAAGGGGACATTTCAGCCACCAATCTGGAACTTCCTTTTACCCTTTCTAGATGTATTTCCGTGGTCTTTTGGAGAACACTTCCCAATATTCCCAAAATTTTTATTTTTTTATTTATGCTTAAAAGATTTTATTTTTAGGTCATCTCTACACCCAACGTGGGGCTCAAACTTACAACCCCAAAAGTCAGAGACCAAAAGTCAGAGCCAGAGCCCCCAGTAATCAAATTTTTAAAAGGGAGCAAAAATCGCAGCACATTGTCATAGAGAGGGTTTCAGTAATTCTTATATTTCCAAGTTATACCTCACCTTCCTATTCTACCTTGCCCAGCGGCAGAAGGAGTCCTTACTAACCTCTCCTCCACCATCCACCAAGCCCAGGTCTGAGCTGCTGCGAAATTTCTCAATCAATCTGGATCATGGAAGGGCACTTCAACCACAGGTCCCCTTCTGTTGTTTTTCCACCACCAGTAATTATAAAAAACAAAAAATCTTTGTTGCCAGGATACTGGAGGATCCTGTATTATCTACTGCTCTGGATTTTCACAAAAAATGAGGCTTATCATGCACCCAGAACCATAAGATATTTTTAGAGACGGAACGATCTTGAAAATCATACTGCCTATAATCTTCACAGGCAAGAAAGTCAGGCTTGGGGCAAGTGACAAGCCCCCAGGACTACAAAGCCCTCGCTCAACACTCCACGTGGCCTCTGGATGACAGGACAGCTTGCCCTCTGCTTTGTAACACACAAAACTCTAAAATGCAGGAACTTGACCGTGTCCACCTGGCTAGCATCTCCAGCTGAGGTGAGTTGTACACATCGGAGGGAGGGAGGTCCAGAGGCAGGGCTGCTATGTCATTTGGGGAGCCCCAGTGCAAAATAACAGTGCAGGACTCCTCATTCCAAAAGCAGAAAAAAGCTTTGCCCTTTTTTCTATGATCTCTCTCTCAACCTGGTTTTTTTGTTTTTCTTTGTTTTTTTTTTTTTTTTTTTTTTTTGCTATTTAATTAGTATACTCCTTTGGATAGGAGGTGGGGAGATCTGTGCAGACCTCACTGGGAGCACAACCCCCCCTCCAACATGCCTGGGAGCCCTGCCCTGGGTGTGTGTGTGCGTGTGTGTTGAGGGGGATGCTCCAAGTCAGCTGGACCAGGCCCCGCTGGGGGCAGAGGGTGTCCGTGGTCTCTCAATAGGGGCAGAGAAGGGGATCTGGGTGCCCCTGGGACACCAGGGGACAGGGAAGGGGGCAGCTGTGACCCCATGTGAGGCTTTAAGCCCCTGACACATGCTCCATCATCCCCATGGAACTTCACTTACAAACCACAAGGTCAAGGATAAAATTAGTAAGTTCAAGACCATGATTTCAGAGCATTAAACCCCATCCGTGGGTCCCCTCTGAGCACGGGGCCCTGTACATCTCACCGCTACATGCCCAGGTAGCAGAGGTCCAATGGCCCCAGGGTGACAGGCTCAGGTCGGGTGGGGATGCAAGTTTAAGTGTCCACCTTTCTTCCCTACAGCCTTTCCTGGGGGGATCTCCAGCTCCTGCCCATCGTGACCCAGGGGATGACAGATTTGGTGCAGACTCTGTCCCAGCAGGTGTCTGGAAGAGGTGAATAATACAGTTTCTTAAAGCTGATCTCCCCTTAGAAGGCACACTCTTCTGGGATGTGGGGAAGGGGCTGCAAACTGCCCCTTCCCCACCGTCTGAATCTTCCACTCTGTACATACAAGCCTGGCCATTCAGGACAGCATCTGTGATGGCAGACTTTCCTTTCTGTGCCTTCTGAGTCTCAGCTGGACTCTGACCTCCCTTGCTCTTTGCTGGGCTCAGTCGGTGCTTAACACTCGGTTCTGGTAGAGCTGTGGGATTTAACCCCGAGACTCCCTGGGGCAAGACTCCATGAAGCCCGAGGATGGAGAACCCCACATCGAAAAGCACCACCTGATAATAAGTGTTCCCCAGGGAGGGAATCTTGGCATCTATTTATTTGCCAAGCATCATGATGTGTGTGCCAGGCACCATTCACAAAATTAAGGAGTTATTATGTCCTGTTCACAACCCTATGAGATGGGTGCTGTTAGTATTTCTACGTCTTCAGATGCAGAGAGCCAAACCAGAGAGGCTAAATAATGGGCTCCGACTCACAGCCAGAAAATGGGGAGCTGGAAGCCATCCCCGGTGTGTCTAGCTCCAAGCGTTTGGCCTCTGGCTTCCATGTCACTGCCTCGTATCCACCCACCGAGGTGGGTGATACAGAAGGGCTGTCTCTTTATTGGTTTAGTAGCCACACGGACAAAAAGCATTGAGTCACGGAGCGGACAGTTTCCGGGATCGTGAGTTTAGGAGACTGCACGATAGGAAGGGCTATGACTCCCACCTGCCTCCTTCCTGGCCTCTCATCACTAGTCTTTGTTTGGTGGGATCTCAAGGATTCTTCAGAGCTGGTGTTGCACTTCTTTGCCTTTGGTGGAGATGAGGTTCTTATTCACAACCTTGGGCAATCTGAGTTTTCTCTCTTCCAGGTGGGTAAATATGTTGTTTGGATATAAAAGTTTGTAAACAGAGCCTGGGAGGTGTCCACAACTCAGCACTGCTTCTGGCTATTGGCCTTGGAACAGTGACTGCCGACAGGCTGGCAGGAAGCAGATGGGGTGCATGGGGACTGTGGCTCGGAGGAGGCCCCTGAAAAGCCCAGAGCCTCTGCAGTGCAGGCTGGCGACTAGTCCTGTCTCACGGCTCATTAGCCCTGTGGCCAGGTGCCCGGAGGTGGGTGGGAAGGAACAGGTGGCTACTCTCAGGAACATCATAAAACCCCTGCAAAGCATGTGGCTTTGTTTTCAGGGACAGTTGCCAAATTCTTGCCCTTGAAATAATTTTCTAGGTCTTTCTACTAGAAAAAAGGTTTCACTTGGAGAATGAGGGAGGGAGGAAATATGGAGACCAGGAAGGAATAGCCGGGTTGGAATAAAGCTCCAATTTCTCCAAAAAGAAGAGAGGAATCATATTACCGGAACCTGTTCTAAGGATAGACAGCCCCCACACACGCACCTGGCACACACCCCCAATTCTGCAAAGCAAACAGTCAGAACCATGACTGAATTCAGGGAGTTTGGTCAGGCACATCGAGATAGTTTGGAGTTAAATGAATGCAAGGTGGGCAGAGGAGGGCCCCTTACTCCAGCAGCTTTGAGACAACTATACTGTGTTTACTGGGTTCGGTCCCACACGCCCAGGGCCACAGCAGCCCCCGGATGCGGGGACACGCCGCCCGGGGTCTTGGCAGCTCACACTAACTGCGCTTTCCACCAGCCTGTCCTTGTTAGCACCGCTGGGGCTCCGCGGTTAAGCTGTCGAAAGCCAGGGCGACACTGAGTCACGCACCTCCTTTTCAACCAAGGCATATTTCTGGGAATGTGAAGAACACTCCAGCGACGTGACATTCCTTAGCTTGTAGTAGTAGGCAACTCCCCACTTCCTTTCTAGACGCATTGCATCATCTTTCTCAACAGGACGAAACAGATTTACTTGAAACTTACGTGCCTCTGGGAGAAAGGCTGGAGGGCTGAGCCCCACCCCGCCCTTTGTAGATCGGCCCTTATCCTGCCCCAGAGGGCGAGTGGGCAAGCCTCCTGAGGACTGCTCTCTTGCCTCACAAGGATCAAAAGACAGACGTGATGTATGTTCCATGCTCACCCCACAAGCATGAAACCCCGCACTAGGACAGTCACTGCATGCGGGAGTCACAGAGCACGTGTGCGGGGCGTCTGTGGACACATCAGCTCCCCTGGGGGGCGGTGTGGTCTTGGCCATTCTTTGTCCTTTTCATCTCAGAATAAGTCACAGGACAGGTAAATGATCTCTGTAAAACCTTTGGCCTGTGGGTAAACTTTTGTGCATCTAAATCCCAGAGGGATGTTATTTATTAACAGTGCAGTGAACAAACAAATATTGAGGGTTTGTGGAGGGAGCTCGGGTGAGGCAGGGGTGGTGGATGCAGAGGTGAACAAAAAGGGCATCTGCTGTCAAGAAGGGCCCAGTGTCGCCCTCCACGTCGTGCAGGGAAGGGCACACCACGTGTGGGGTTGGGGGCAGGGGAGTAGAATGCTCCAGGAGCTGGTCAGAGAAGACCGATTCCAGGAGGCATGTTTGAGCCAGGCTGGGGATGCTGGGGGACGGTGTTGTCCCAGCGATGGGGTCATCACAGAGAGGTGGGAAAGTGAGAAGACAGACAGACGGAAGGTTGATGCAGAGACGGAGAGCTGGACGCCAGGCTGCGTGGGGTGCAGGCAGAGGAGTGCCCAGGCTGGAAGCAGACACGGGATGGTGGAAACCATGCTAGGACAATTCAGGCTTTAGTCTGCTGATGACTGTGAGCCATGGAGAGTCTTGAGCAGAGTGACACGCTCCGCACATAACATGGAGAGGTCATCCCGGCGGCACAGTGAGATTCAGCCTGGGAAAGGCTGAAGGTGGGGGTGGGTTTGGAGGCCATATCAGGGCTGTAAGTGGGCTGGTGCTACACCTAATCCATAGCGAAGGCCAGAGAACATCAGAGGGTGATAATGATGATGATGATGCTCCTCCCCCTTTGGAGAGGCTAAGCACCTGCCATCTTACTTTATCTATCAGGTCGACTATCACCCCATCTTCCAGATGAAGAAGCTGAGGCTCCCAAGAGGGAATCAGCTGCTTGTGGTCACACAGTATGTGATCAACAGTGCCACGAGTTCAACCCAGGTCTTTCTGACTCCAGTCATACCCAGCATAGTGGAATGACAGAGTCGAAACCCAGTAAACTGTGGGAGGGGAAGAGGATGTTCTGGTGGTTTCTGCCTGGGCACCACGGAGGACAGATGGCAGTGGGTAAGTCGGGGACAGGCAGGTGGGAGGAGGACCTTGGAACTAGTTTGGCTGGGAGCCAAATGAAAACTTGACACCAACAAAATACCATGGGGTGGTGTTGACCATCTGTAATTAGAGCTACTGGCCCAAGGTTTATGTCAAAGATCGGGAGCTAGAAGTGTCCACGTGGTACAAAGGGAAGATGTTTGTACGTATAAGCAGGGTAGGAAAGCAAGGTGCAAACAGAATTATAGGAGCATGGCTTGAGAGTTTAGAACATGCCAGGCGCTGGGCTAGATGCTTGTCATGTCCTTATGACCACCTGGGCATGCTCCCACTGCTATCTTTTGTTTCCAGGTGAGTAACAGAAGCCTGGGGACATAAGTAGCTCACCTAAGGCCACACAGCCAGTAATAGTGACCTTGTACCTCCAGCCAAAGTCAGCTTCCCGAGGGCATCTATTAGACAAATACAGGACGGATTCGCCTAAGAGGGGTTACAAAGTTGCATCCCGGGATTCTAGGCTCCTTACATCTCTCTATTTGCTTATCTGTATTCGGTCTATAGTGAATATGCACTATTTTTGTGATAGGAAAAAAGTTTTAATAAAGCAAAGAAGTAGAAGTGTAAATTGGTAGGCTTTTTGGAAGACAATTTGCGGACCTGCATCAAAAGCTGAACATTTGGCATATTTTTTGGACCCAACAATTCCATTTTTAGGAGATAATCAAAGAAACAGGGGAAGACTTCTGTATAAAGATGTTGAAAGCAGTAGATTAGAGAAAAACTGGAAATACCTCAAATATCCAACAGTAAGGGATAGAGATAGATTTGGGCTCAGCTATACAGTTAAATTAAAAACTAGGTAGCATCAAAATGGCTCCTGCAAATTGGCATGAGTATGTGAAGAGTGCTCATGATGCGTTAATGCACGAGGAAAATACACCATAAAGCATTACCTACCAATTAGTCTCATTTGGGTAAAAAGTACATTTATAGGAAAACATTCATTAAACTACTCAGCTTTTAAGAGAAGTATCGATGCAAATAATGATTCAGTTTTAATTGTGATAAATGATCACTGGAAGAGTGTGCACTGACTGTGTGTGATGGGGAGGAAATCCAGCCTAAAATTAGCAGGTGGCGCTTGAAGGGTAAGAATTGGAAGGATATACACCAAAATGCTTTGTGACTTGAATTTTTCTTTTCAGTGATCTGTATTTTCTAAGATTTTTTTCCTACAGGAAAATTGGATTACTTGGGGAGAAATATTTCCTTTCAAATAACTTTTCAAATGAAAAGGAAAAAAACAAGTGTGGAAGTAAGGAAAAGTGAAGAATATGCGTGTTCACGGACTTGTGGAGGAAAGACCTTCCAGAAGAGAGTCAGCAGCATTGGCTACTCTGAAAGACCCAACAGGATGAAGACCAAGATAAAGAAAGGAGGAAGCCACTGATGACCTTACATTTCCTATGGGAAACATTTACTTATTGTTCTTTGTCTCCAGCCACCTTCCTCTCTCAGCCCAGACCCACATTTTCCCTCACCTTCTCCTGGATGTCTTCCCCTGGCTTTTCTGTGGATAGTTCAAACTTGGCACACCCCAGAACTGCCTACTCTTCACTCCAGCCCCCAATCAGACAGACAGACAGACAGACACCACACTCATTCACCTGTTCTCCCCATCCTCCTCGGTTACACCACTATCCTCCCAAACTGAGTATCATTCCAGAATCATTCCCTCCCTCTGCCTATGCACATATAGCGGATCCTTTAAATATCTCATTGACTAATCTCTCCTCTCTAACCTTGAGGCTACAGCCTTAGTCAGGCCTTCCTTATCTCTTATCTAGACCAACTCACCACTACCCTACCTACCATCCTCCTACTCCTAACGCATCCTCCACACCTTCACGGACTCTGAATGCCTTTGGACCATTTGACTCACACAATACACTCTGCTCCCATCCTCCCCAGAATCAAGTCTAACTTCTTTAAAATCTTACAAATAATGAAACAAGGAACATCTGTGTATATATAACTCACCTTATTCATTCAAGTTATTTCTTCGGGATAAATCCGAAATTGAGCAGTGATCCCACCTGCCTGCCCCCATTCTTCTCCATCGAAAAAAATCTTAATACTTGTGCCCTGACTCTGCTTGTTTTTTTTTTTTTTCTTCTCTTTTAAGTCAGGTCCCAGTTATTTTTTTATTGAGGGAAAATTATTTTAATTTTAAAGCGGTATGTGTTTAACCATTTCCCTCCCTCCAGTTTTTTGTTTGTTGTCATTTTGCTTTTACACACATATTGCTTCAGGTTGTAGAAACATTTTTCTGTCAGGCGTTTCGTGAGTTTTTCAATGCAGCAATCTCTCCCCAGGGAATTCTTTTAAAAAGCAGGGCAGGGTTGGATGGGAAGTTGGGCTTACCTTCCTTTAGGTGCTCCAAGTTAAGAGTAAAAGAAAAAAAAAATAATGCCGAGAGTGTCATCTATATTGTAGTGAGTAATTCATTCTCCCTAGCCTAATGAGCCACTTTCTTTTTTTAATAAAGAAAAATTTAGTAGGCAAGTTCCCTGGATCTAGAGATACCGCAGCTCTCCTTTGAACCGACTTTGAATAGTTTGGGGCCAACTTTGGACTGCCTTGAAGTTTTCACAAGAATAAAACCATAGCTGAATAGGTGTCTGGGACATTCCTTCTCTCCTTTTGTGGGATTATTCGGGAATCTTATCAAAGGATGTCAGTGCCCTGGGTGCTTATAAATGCTAGACTGATTTTATATGCTATCTTAATTTGGGGCTAGTAGGGAGATTTCAAAGGAACTTGGATCATTCATATAAACAATTGGCTTCAAATAAAACTTACCATCTCTATGTTAAATATGCATTTTTAATGACATAGCTCTCCCTCAAATCAGGAAGAGTCTGGGAATGTTGTTTCTCGAATGCCTTTATCAAATCCTCTAACATGCTATATTTCTCTGCCCCTCAATCGCGGTAACTGAGAGTGTATTCGTTCTTCCACTCGGCCAACCTGTTCTAAGTTCTTCCCTGTCTGGCTAGTGAGCACTTAGTTATGTCCTAAGGAGACCCCCTCATATGTCCTCCTGGCATTGTGTACCTCTCCTCACAGGTGTCATTTTAGATTTATTTCTTCATCGTCTGTCTCTCCAATGGGATTGAGCTTGATGGAAGCAGGACCCATGTTCATGATTATCTCTAGTGATTACTACCCAATGAGTGATTAAAGCCAATGTGATGAGCTCAACCATGAGTATTATCTGCAAAGTCAAAGATGAGATGCAGCCTTAGAGCACCTGGGTGGGAGGCAGGAGGTCACGCTGATCACCACAGAGGTCCAGTGTTGTGATTCCTTTATTCCAGGAAGTGTAATGACTAAGTATTAATACATAAAAGATGAGGAGACAGTGGTTACCTAGACAGAAGCTCTCTTAGCAAGGCCTGTGGGCCACCTACAGAACACAGACACCCCACCTCTCTTCTCCACTGCCATCACCCCACTTGAAGCCAGAGGGCTGGCCAAAGATCTTCCCATCACGTGTCCCGTTTCCACCCTCTAGGTAGCTGCTGGGATAATTGTCCAACGATCTATGTAGAATTGCTCATAGCACAGTGAGACCTATCAGCCCCTTAGAACAGGTCCCAGACCCTGGCTGTGCAGCCCTGTGCCTCCCGCCCTGACTTGTTGTCTGTCTCTCCCCAGTTGCTCTGCCTCCCTGGCTGCTTTTGGGAACTTCAGACACTCCAGCCCTGGGCTTGGTCCCCCCTGGAGGAAAGCTCTTCCTAGCTGTCCCTTCCCTCATAAAGGTCTCTACTGAATTGTCACCTGCTCAGAGAGGCCTTCCCTGATCCTCAGGCACACACTTCTCATCTTGTCCTAGTCCATGTTCTTCCTAGCTCTTATCTCTGTCTGTGTTGTTGTTGTTTATTTTCTTGTTGACATGTTTACTACCCATCTTTTCCTCCCAGGATGCATGTTGCAGGGGTCTCCTTAGGACATAACTAAGTGCTCACTAGCCAGACAGGGAAACACTTAGAACAGGTTGGCCGAGTGGAAGAACGAATACACTCTCAGTTACCGCGATTGAGGGGCAGAGAAATATAGCATGTTAGGATTGCAAGGGTCCTGGGATTCATCTAATCCCATGTCACATCCCTAGGGTCAGTGTCCAGACTCTGCCTGACCTCTTATAGGGCTTGAGAGCTAATTCTCACTCAGGGGACATAGGGGAATAAGCAAAAATAGCCAATGAGGTGATATTATGTCATTTTCATGAGCTAACTTAAAAATCCCACTCTGACCACTTAGCCTAACATTTATTAAGCATATACTCATGGGGGTCAGGGGAAAGAGGCAGACATGCAAAGAAAATAATCTTAAATTGGGGCCCCTGGGTGGCTCAGTTGGTTGAGCATCTGACTCTTGGTTTCGGCTCAGGTCATGATCTCAGGGTTCTGAGTTCGAGCCCCATGTCGGGCTCTGTGGAGTCTGCTTCTCTGCTTCTCCCTCTGCCCCTCCCCCACCCCGGTGCATGCACTCTATTTCTCTCATAAATAAATAAATCTGTTAAAAAAAAAAAAAGAGGGGCGCCTGGGTGGCTCAGTCGGTTAAGTGTCTGTCTTCAGCTCGGGTCATGATCCCAGGGTCCTGGGATCAGGCCCCAAGTCGGGCTCCCTACTGGCTGGAAGGGGGGAGTCTGCTTCTCCCTCTTCCTCAGCTTGTGCTCTCTCTCTCTCTGTGTCAAATAAATACATAAATCTTAGGGGCGCCTGGGTGGCTCAGTCGGTAAGCGTCTGCCTTCCGCTCAGGTCATGATCCCAGAGTCCTGGGATCGAGCCCCGCATCGGGCTCCCTGCTCTGCTGGAAGCCTGCTTCTCGCTCTCCCACTCCCCCTGCTTGTGTTCCCTCTCTCGCTGTCTCTCTCTCTGTCAAATAAATAAAATCTTTAAAAAATAATAAATAAATAAATAAATCTTAAAAAAAAGAGAGAGAAAAGCAAAGAATCTAAGTCACCCAAGGGTGAGGACTTCAGTGGAACATGCCTGGGGGGTCTGGATTCCACCTAAGCCCTTTCCTAGCTGTCCTACTGTTGGTTAAATATTTGTGAAGATTTTGAAAAGGTGATGTAGGACAGTGGCCATCTTAGTGCCTGGCACACAGTAAGTGCTAATAAATGTTTGCTTCAGGTCTCTCAGAGAGCAAACAGCAGGCAACAAGGCCCACTCTGCTAAAAACTACATTTCCCGGCCTCCTCTGCAGCTGGCAGGGCGATTTGACCAAACTCTGGCCAAGGTGAGCTCCAGTCATTTGGGCCACTGGCTGGTAGGGCCTTCAAACACGGAGCATGGCCGCTCACGCTCCCCTTCCCCTTCTCTGGGCTGACAGCCTTGGCAGGGACCTCACTGCAACCAGTGACGCGTCGAATGCCCTGGAACGTAACATTAACACGAAGGGTGAGACAGGGGAGCTCAGTCTCCCTGCTGGCCCCTCCATCTGGCTGTCTCCAGAAAGCTGAAACAGCTCTCAGTTAAACCAGTGTATCTGGGGCCTCTTCGTTACAGCAGCTTTGTCTTGACCTCACCAGCTCAAGCATGATCAGGGAAGACTTTGCCTGAGGTGCTGACATTTGTGTTGGACATTGAAGGATAAATGGGAATTTATCAGTTCCGGGGTGGGGGGGGGCGCGGGAGGGGAGAGTGGGTGCAAATTTCCAAGAGAACCACACTGTATGCAAAGGTATGGAGACAGGAAGGCCCTTGGCTGACTATAGCCCAGTGTTTCCCCGGTAGAAGGTCCTCCTTGCTAACTACAGATTCCTGGGGCTCCCTCCACCCCCACCCACCACCACCAGGCTTTCTGAATCAGAATCCACAGGGGAGGGGCCAAGGGATGGATCTGAATTATTACCCAGTGCCTCGGGTCATTCTTGTGACCAAGTTTGGGAAGCACTGGGAACTGAGTTGGGGAAGCTGGATTGAGCCCAGAGCAAATGTCTCGAATCCCATAAGGAATTTGAACCTCTGCAAGCAGGTTTCTTTTATTTGGGGGGAGAAGCCACAGATTCTTCTGGAAAATTAAGTTATAAGCCTCTTCCCAGAAAATTCCCACCACTCCCCTGACATTTGAATACCTTTTCAGGGACCCAAGAATTCCCCTTGGGAACTTGGTGGAAGAAGCTTGGGGGGCAGGGATCTCCATCAAGGCAGGGACTTGATGAAAGACAGCTTCCAAAGCCAAGCAGGGACTATGGGTGGGCGAGGGGCTCTGGGAAGTGGAGTTTGGAGGAAGGGAGGAGGGAGATGCCAGAAAGGCAGAAGAAGGAGGCCAGGGTGTGTGACTAGCAACTGGTCACAGATTTCAGAGGCCTGGAGAGCCCTGTGCAGGGAGTGTGGGGGAGGGGGCGGAACAGGGGCAGTGACTGCAGCGCTTTGGCGGGCCTGGTCTACTGCGCTGATTGGGAGGACTGTGAGGGATTCAGACATCAGTTCCTGGAAAGCTGTGGACGTTCAAGTAGAAGATTAGAGGGGGGGGGCCCAAGCTGAAGATTTGGAGCTCTTGAATATGGGTGACAGCTGACCTCGTGGGAGTCCATGGGCCCCTCCAGGGACAGTCTGCAAAATGAGACAGAAAGCTGGACGCTGGTGAGACCCACCTCCGAGGGGAACCAGGAAAGGAGCCCATGAAAGGGGAGTATCAGGGGACCGAGAGACGGAGAGACAGAGACCAAGGGGCAGAAAGGTCAAGCCCGATGAACATTGCCAGGCCACAGGCTGGGCAGCTCCGAAGTCACTGGGCATCCCTAAAAGAGTCTTTCTTTTGCTAACTCTGCCGTTCACGTCCTTGTCTTTAGTAAAAACACAGCCAAGTATTTAGGGATAGGGAGACATGATGTCTGCGACTTACTTGCAAATGGTTTAGAAAAAATATATGGAGAGAGAGAAAGAATGTAGAAAATGTTCAAGAGTGGCAAATCTGGTCGAAGGGTTTGGGGGGGGGGTTTGTAACATTCTCGAGACTTCTTTAAGTTTAAAATGATAAAGATCTCCTTGTTTTAAAAAAGGACACGTTGAGGAGAGTGCGGGACACAGGCCAGACATCAGTGGGTTAGTGCGTGTGGGCCGAGCTTTGGAGGAGTTTAAGGATGAAGGGAAAAAGGAGTGCGCTGACCAGTGAGGGGTGAGACTTTTTTAAAGGTGGCGATGGGGAGAAGGAATAGATGCTTGAGCATATTTTATGGCTGAAACAACTGCCCCGAACTGAGAGGGTGAAGGCTGGGAGAGAATGGAGGGGGACAGACGCGGGGAGGGGGAGGAGAAGAGGAAGGGGGAAGCGAGGGAGAGGGCAGGGAGGAGGGGTGGACGGAGGCGGAGAGAGGGGGAGGAGGAAGGAGGAGAGGAGAAAAGGGGGAGGGGTGAAAATTTGGATCAGACAGGGAGGTCGGCCTCGGGGTGGAACGGGGGCCCCCCTTCAGAGTGACAGCAAAGAAGGCGGAGGTTGGGGCCATTTGCCCCCTGACCATGGCCTCCCCCCCGCCCCTTCCCGCCTCCGGAAGCGCTGGCCCTTTTAAGGCGCA